TCCAAATATTACAGATTTTATTCGATTTAAAATTTTTATTATTTATTTTATTAAAATAAAAAAATATTGCCTTAAAATTATTGCCTTACCCGCCTCCAGGCCCCCCTATTTGAGATAATTCAAATTAAAGTGGTGCAATTTATTATCTACTATAATTTATCGACAAATTTAAAATTTTATTTAAAAAATCCAAATATTACAGATTTTATTCGATTTTAAATTTTTATTATTTATTTTATTAAAATAAAAAAATATTTAAAATGGTATGAAACCTGTAATATTTTGATTTTTTAAATAAAATTTTAAATTTGTCGATAAATTATAGTAGATAATAAATTGCACCACTTTAATTTGAATTATCTCAAATAGGCCCCCCTATGGAGGCGGGTGAGGCAACAGGAAAAACTAATTTTTTTTCGCAAACTTCAATTTAAATTCTGTTTGCGCTGAACCTGTTTATTTAATGTCATTATAAACTATTATAAATTTGGTGTGGGTCCCATGTCTTATAACTGAGATATTGGTATACCCAAAATCCACCAGCCGCCAAAGCGGCGCTTAAGTAAATAAAAATGTATTTCGCATGCAATTGTTTAAAATAAAAATTAAATGATTCGAGGGGGAAAATAAATTAGTACCAAAATTATTCCTCATACTCTCATACTTATGGGGAGGGATGGGGATGGGGTTTCGTCTAAAACATTTTTTTATATTTGTAAAAGATGGCGCTGTAATAAAAAAATCTATTTTGTTTGATTTATCGTATATAATACCACTAGTGGTAAAATTTTACCGATAAAATTTTTGATTTTTATACGAATGTTTTTTTCTTGGAAATTTCGCAAGTGGCATTAATTTTTAAGACCACGAGCCGCTAGGCGAGTGGTTTGAAGTTAATGCCACGAGCGAAATTTCCAAGGAAAAATCTTGTATAAATAAAAATCAAAAATTTTTTCAGGGAAAATTTTATCACGAGTGGTATTCGGCAAGACTATTTCACGAATATTTTTAACTGCCTATTCAATTTCTGTATGATTTTTTGGACCAAAACGCATATTTTTTAACATTTTAATTTTAAAATTAAAAACGTCAACAGTGACAATTATTTTTATCATAGCAACCAATTGGTTGTTATGCAACTCGTATAAACGAGTGGTTTTTTCACCTGAATAGTAGTTTTATCGTAAGTAATATCATAAGGGCATTTAATTTTTCCGAAAAGAATCGAAAAAACACGTTGCTAAGTAATATTTTAACAAAAAGCATGAGTGCTGGTGGCAACAAAAATCCGAGTCGAATAGGAGGATTTTTGCACCTGCACGAATGCATTTTGTTAAAAAATATTACTTAGCATTGTGTTTTTTCGATTTTTTTCACAGGAAAAATTAAATGCCCGAATGGTATTTGACAAGACTATTTCATGAGTAACAGTTAACAATTAAAATATAAATTGCAATGTTTGGTGACAACAGCTGTCAAGTTTTGCCGCGGGTAAACTCGAATAAACTGCTGACAGGTGCTGTCACACAGTTTTTTCACCTAGAAACCATTTGTAATTCAAAATTGCGCGTTTGTGATTGGTGGAAATTAAGACGAGGGAAATAGTCGCTGCAAAACTGAAAAAACCACTCGTTTTCTGAAATCTGATTGGTCCAAAAAGTAATGAGTGGAATAGTCCTCTGTATACCATTCTGCAATAATTTTTCAATAAAAATATAAAAGTGACATATCACTTTTTCATTGGAATAAATTATATTATTAAATTAAATCTGATTTTTTGTTTATAAAGTACGATTTTTTTCTAATATTCAAGTTTCCTTGTTTCATTATTTCATTTAATGAAGATTAATCAGTTTTACATTTAAAACTTGTGTAATTGTTACTCCTGTTTTTGTTTGTTATTTTTGTTATCCTCGTGTTGAGACTAAAAAGGGTCCGGCTTCAAGGTGCAAAAAAACGAAATAACCTTTAGAAACAACTAAAATCAATTTTATTTAGTTCGAAGATTAATTTTCATACAAAAAGACCAGTTTTCGGTAAGCAGTTAGGTATTCATAATGGATTTTTTAACAGTGAAAGAAAAAATTGAAATGGTTTTAATTTATGGAGAAGTAGGCAAATTCTTAATGATGCTGTTAATGTCTAGTCTCAGCGTTTTCCGGAAAAAAATCGATTGCGTGCTTTATTTCAACGTACAGTCAAGCAGTTTACTACAAGCGGAAATGTTCAACCGAAAAAAAGAGTTCATCGAGCATCAGTGAAAATAATGAAATTAATGTGTTAGCAGCCGTTGCTGCTAATACTCATGCAAGTACACGAGAATTATCTTGCAATTCCGGAATATTCCAGAGCAGTGTTATCAGAATATTAAAACGAAATAAATACTATCCTTACAATATTTCGTTACATCAGGAGCTTTATGATTTCAATTTTCAAATCGGTTAATATTTTGTCGGTGGGTACGTGAACAAATACAACCAAATCCAAATTTTTTCCATTTTGTATTGTTCTTCGACGAGTCGTCTTTTACGAACCACGGAACGGTAAATCGGCACAACATGCATTACTGGAGTGTTGAAAATCCGCGTTGGTTTCGTCAAGTTGAACATCAGCGTCCTTGGACTGTCAACTTATGGTGTGGAATCATTCCACTGGAATGGTTGGCAACAAACTCATCGGTCCCTACATCAGAAGGGAATTTTGGCGAAATTTACTGAGATATTTTGGAAAACAAACTGCCCACATTACTTGACTTTGGGTTGGAAATACGACAGAACATGTGGTTTCAACATGATGGTTGCCCAGCACAATATTCATTGTTAGCACGTGAAGAACTTGATCGCAATTTTAATGGTCGCTGGCAAAATAATCGATCCACACAAATTTTCGATAAAATTTAATCGCAAATAACTTTTTTATTTGATTTCGGATTTAAACAAATGCTAAAGAATATTGTAGATAAATTAATGGAGAATCGCGCACATTTTAAAAATTACTAAAAAACAGACGTAGGTTTATAATATAAAGGTTTAAACAAAACAAAAGACAATCTGTACAGTGGCAAAGCCATATATTGTTCTAAATTAAGTTTTAATTATCAAGTCACATCTATTTTTAACAGTTTTGTTTTTGGTTCACCTTGATATATTTATTTTTGTGGAAAATATGGATTTTAAAAAAAACATTGCAATTTTTACATTTACATTTTTTCTGTACAAAGAACTAAGGTTTGCTATAGTCCATCCATAACCTATGGAGGATGACAGTGACAGGTTTGTTGAATCATCCCATACTTGGACATGTCATATACAGCTTTCAAAAGCTATCAAATTGTTTTTTGTAAATTAATGTGTTAATTTTGAGGTGTCTTCTTACTTTTAAAAATGTATGTGTCTCCGACTTATGTACACTTTTTACTTCTTGTGACGTTTAAAACACTTGCCCGTCCATATTAAATTAAATCAATGGCTCTGTCAACATCATTCGGAGACATATCCATTTTAAAAAGTAAGAAGACACCTTAAAAGTTAAACATTAATTTGCAAAAAACAATTTGATAGCTTTTGAAAGCAGTATATGACATATCCAAGATGATTCAACAAAACTGTCACTGTCATCCTCCATAGCCTACGGATGGACCATAGCAACCTTAGTTTTTCGTACAGAAAAAAATATTAGAAATTGCAATGTTTTTTTAAAAAATTCATATTTTCCACAAAAATAAATATATCGAGGTGAACCAAAATTAAAACTGTTAAGAATAGATGCGACTTGATAATTAATTTAGAACAATATACGGTTTCAGGGCCGGGCCTAAGGGGGGTGTAGAGGGGGAGTCACCCCCCCAAAGTCTTGGCAGTTGGCTCCAAATCCAAACACGGTTGGCAAAATCTATAGTATTTGGGTCGGTTGGTTGGGTATACCTACCCTACCAATACATAAAATGAAATATAATTTTTAAACTTTACCTACATATTACAAAATTATAATTTTTAATCTATTCTAACCTTCTATAATCGTTACCGTCAAGAAAATTGTATTGGTCAACCTTATTTTTATTAAAGGACATTATATTTCACACAAGCGGCATGTACAAAGTCGGCACCTTCTCGCGGCTTTGTCTTTGGTTTTGGCGGCGTTTGACTCTTTTTACGCACCCCAATTTTCGGCGTCTTATTTTTCTAGATTATTATTTACCTAGTTGAAGCTTATCTAAACTAAGTAAAACTAGTGTCAATAAATAGGAATTACAACACTTTACATACATGATAAAACTACTGAAAATATTTACTATTAGGTACTACTAAAGTATCAATAAAAAAATAAGTTGGTTTTTTTATCGTCTCCACCCCCCCAAAAAATGTGTGCCTCGGTACGGCCTGTACGGTTTAGACACTCTACAGAGTGTCTTAAACTTATGGTAAAAAACTTATTTTTGTTTAAACCTCTATATTATAAACGTACATCTATTTTTTAGTAAATTTTTAAAATATGAGTGATTCTCCATTAATTTATCTACAATATTCTTTAATATTCGTTAAAATGCGACATAAAATAAAAAAGTTATTTGCGATTGAAATTCATCGAAAATTTGTGTGGATCGACTATTTTGCCTGTGAGTGTAGATCACCTGATCTTACTTCGCCAGAATGTTTTTGTGGGGCTATCTCATAGACCGTGTGCATCAACAAGTACCAACAACCCGTGAAAATATGATTGAGCAAATTTTATTTTAATTTTTTTTTCGTAAAATGCCTTTTTACCGCTTTTTACTTAAAGTTTCAAGTTAAAAAACTCACTCTGTATATTACCTTTATTTCTGATCTCCAGAACCAATAATGAAAGATATTTATTATTTTCATCGATCACATTACCCGAGCATAATACCATCTATTTAATTAAATTTAGCGAATGTTTGAGCTCAATTTAATTTGTAAAGAGCCAAGGGAAACATAATTACTTTAATTAGAAGTTCTGTTGCGTTTATCAGTCAAAGAGCAATGCCTGTGCAGTCGCCAACGGTTCCCAAAAGTGTAATCAATCGTGTGTTACCAATATGCAAATTTTTCGCCATCACACCGTGGAACACGTATAAAGATGAGAAAGATGATGACTGTATTAAGTCGAGATTTTATCAAGTTTACGCAGTTCTTGTCATGTTGGCATGTCTGGTAAGCTTGGTGTCTGGAGTCTACAACTCCACTTTGGACTATCCCACATACAGTCTTCACCATATCGTCGTTATTATCGACCACATCATGTTTGTTTCCATAACGACCGCTAATATTTTGGGTACGTTTATGACGGTGTTCTACAAAGGTGACGTGATTAAGGAGTATGCGGAAAGAATCATTAGTATCAACAAGTTTATTCCCATCAGAGGCTGCCCTAAATCCTACTGGAGAATGGTCATTATATTCTGTATTATCGTATGCTTCACGATTTTCTTAGATACGGCTGTCTGGATCTACATTATAGGGTGGAAATTTTACAAATATTACATATTCAGAGAATTTCAGTATTTTCACTACTCAGTTATGGTTTTTTTGGCGTATTACTTTGCTTGTATGATAAGATGCAAGTTTGCTTCACTAAACGTCTTATTAACAGAAGATGCTTGTCAATTAAGCTCACAAGAGAAGTATACCCATGATTTTCTGCCAGTATACGACATGGAACGCCTTTTGATGGTGAATAACGATGAAAAAACAACTCAACAAAATTTAAAGGATGTGTTTAAATGGTACACCGAAATAGCAGACATCCTAGAAATATACAACAGTATTTTTGGCCAAATAATCTTCATCGCCAGCATGTGCACCATCGCACTTCTTTTGAACTACATCGTTTACTTTCTGATAAGCCCCTTTACAATCGCCATATTAATACTTGTTATGTTTTGGATTTTAATCGCGTTGGTTCAAATAATAACCCTCGCTTATGTATGCGACAGCGTAGCCAAGGAAGCCAAAAAAACTCCCGAAATCTGCTACATTCTCTTGAACAAAATACCGACCATCCCGAAAACCGACAAGGACAAAATTCTAAGGGAAGAACTCCAGCTGATCGCTCAGCAGGCCATTTGCAGGAACCCATGCATTTCCGCTTCTGGATTTTTTGTGGTAAACAATTCGATTTTGGGATTCATCATGGCCAGTGTTACTTCTTATATTATTGTCACCATACAGTTTGTGGGGCAGCACTAAAATGTGTGTGTAGATATTATTATTGTTTATTGAATTGAATAAATATAAGCATAGCAAAACTAATATTTTATTCTCTGTTAATTATAATAACCAACAATAGGTATAAGCAACCAAAAAACATGTTTACTAATATCTTTCTATCCAAAATCAAACAACCACATCCAGTTTTTGTGTAATATATACCTCTCCATAAATAAAAGTTCGGTTTTGACTTCGAATTCTTTTCGTAGATACACCTCTGAAATATCCAGCGTATATTTAAAACACTTTGTTCCAAACTGATAGAGTTTTAAGTTGATAGAGTAACATTGATTTATTATTTCTACGAATGCTTGCTGAAATATTAAAATTATGAATAATTAAGAATGTAGTAAGTAGGTACTTCAAAAGTTCTGTCAGATTTTGAAAAAGGTAGCAAAACTTTCATGAATTTCATATTAACGATTAAGAGAGCTACAACACAGGGAACCATGGTTTGGGATATAAATTAGTCAACTTTTAAAAGTTCTTACAGTTCTTTCCAAAATTTTGCCACACTCGCCATATGTATAAACATATGTATAATATATATTAACCCCTTCAAACCTGAATTATTTTTCGACGATAAAAAAATAAATGGCTCTTAAATCTATCGAATTAGGACCTAAAGAACACATATTTGATGCTAAAAAATCTTAATTGTGAAATTTCAGGATGTTCACATGCATGTACATCGAATGTTTTATACGGTTTAGGTGTAGATAATACCAAAATAGTTTTTAGATGTCTTAGTACATACTTTTAGGAACAAACTACCCCAGTTTATTTAAAAAATATTATTGTAAATCATCTAAATACCCGCTAAGACAAACTGTCGTCAACGTGTTGTTCCGGTCATTATGCGCATCCCCATTATATGAGAGAATTTTTAACCAAAAGCGGCCGTTCAAGTAAGAGATGTCGCAATATGTACCTTAGTTTACCAAAACAAATGTACTTGGGGGTGAACACTAGGTTCCAAATGAAATTTAATGCCTATTGAGAGTAATTAAATTACTAAAAAGCTAGGTCTGAAGGGGTCAAGAGTATCACAATTATCTATCTGTCAGTTTACATTTACTTATTTGTCAAATATGACATATAAAATCATCCAAAGCACACTCGGTACAATACACACAAGTCGAATGAGCGATTTTTTTAATTTTTCTGTAAATACTCATTTTAGCTATAGGGTAAAAAAAATTAATAGATTTTAATGTAAACGAGAACAAGTTTTTTTAGTAAAATTTTTTCAAATATTATAATATTTGTAAATACTTTGGATTTGTTCAAATATTTACCAATATCATGTCATTTGTCATCTTTTTCCATGCCTAAACATTCCCAAAATGAAACCAACGGTAACCTGCCTAACTTAATCCAAACTGCTTTTGCATATTATTGGGCACAATTTGATCATTTATTGTTGGCCATCGCGATTGCACAAAAATTGTAGGAATATTAAGTCCTACATTGTACATTCATTGGCAAAACTTTTCCAAAGGTGAAAGGGCTAAGTTTTAACCAGATATGGCTCCCTGGGAAGTAATTTTAAATTCATTCGAACCTTGGTCTAAATCGGAAAGAACTTGAGTAAATATCCCTGTTGTAAATGACCCGGTCATTATGACCGATTAATTCCTGTTGAAACCAATTGAAGTATTGGTTGGTATCAATGGGTCTGAATTGGACTTACTGGATTTAATTGGGCGCGATTTAAAACATAAATTGGTTTTTACTGGTATTTTCCATGATGGAAAAGTCCAATTAGGATTCTAATAGTTTTTATTGGTTTCGATTGGATAAAGCTACCTATAGGTAATTTCCAATTAAATTCAATTGGGCATTTCCAGTGCAAGATTCTAAAAAGGAATCTGCTAATTGGTTATTCCCAATACTTTAAAATATGGAAAAATCCAATTAGGATTCTACTGTTTTTAGCGGTTTCGATTGGATAAAGCTACCTATAGGTAATTTCCAATTGAATTCAATTGGGCATTCCCAGTGTAAGATTCAACAAATCTGCTAATTGGTTATTCCCAATACAATAAAAATATCGCAAGAGGGCTCTCGTGTAGCTGCGTAAAACCAACGAGGTTGAGACGCCATTATAAAGAAAAAACAACACAAACAAGTCTTTGGATGCCATTTATTAGCGGTTTTTTTATTAGTCGATTTCTGTGTTAAGTGCCTAGTGTTAGTAGTGTACTATATAATATAGTATATATTAAAAAAATGTTTATGTGTAAGGTTTAGGGACGATGGCGTAAGAATGGTTGTCACAGCGGACAAAATAAAAAAATTTGACATAAACACTATCGACATTCTACCATGCCTACAAACATCCTTTGCAAGGAAGACAAAAAAATAATTATAACCGAATAATTTTATTTATTTTTTATTACTTTTTTTGTGATAGTAAGTTATATGTATCAATACATACATATCACAAAAAAAAATAATAAAGAAATAAAATTACTCAGTAACAATAAATTTTTTGTCTCTTCTGTGAAAAATGAATTCTGGTTTTTAACCGGTTATCCTTTTTAGTGATGCCGCCGATACGAGAGATTCTCGCCTCTCGTCTCGTCTCGTCTCGTCTCGTCTCGACGAGACGAGAGGGAGATTTTCTCTCGAAAAAAGGCTCGAGACGAGACGAGAGAATGCCCTCTCTCGCTCGAGAATTTCTCGTTTCTCTCGATCTCTCTCGTTCTCTCGATTATTCCGGTAATAAGTAAACAATTTTTTTACATAAAAATTTTAATTTTGCGATATTTATTTGGACCAATGAGAACATTATTCGCATTTCATAATAAACAAAATTTGTTCCTGTATAACGTTTTATTATTTTATAACACAACTTAAGGTTAACCAAGAAAAAAATTACTTATAAAATAATATTAATTTTTAAAATTTACCCTTTATAAGCACATTTATGGCACTCCTTATACTATTCAATGAACTTAATCAACAACATGTGGTTTTTGAGGGGCTGATTACAAATTTGATATCCATTTTTTCAAAAAATAAAATGGCTGATCCAATATGACGAAAATTTGTCGTTCGGCTTTAATGGTTTGGGTAAAATTTAGTATTTAGATATTTATGGGGTCTCTGATTAAGAATTTGATATCCATTCAAAAAACAAAATTGCGGATTCAAAATGACGGACATGCGCAGTAGGTACAAGATGGTTGGATCTATGTGGAGTAGTTACATCATATAGACGCAGTAGTTTTCAGATGGATGGATGATTTGATCCATCCATCTGAAAACTACTGCGCCTATATACTACACTGAGAAAAAAAATGGGACAAATAAACTGTGTAGCTAATCCTTTTATTAATAGTGAATATATTGTTTATTACCTCTAAATAGTCGAAATAATAACGATAAATATACTTTAGTAAAACTTTATGTGTCGGTAATAAAAATATATTTAGGATAAATATACTGTACCCTTGTCCCATATTTAAATATTTTTTTTATTTGGGAGCAATAAACTTTTTTCTCAGTGTTACAGTTACATCTATAGATGTAACTACTCCACATAGATCCAACCATTTGATTCAAATGTGCGACATTTTCGGCGTAAAAAGTCTTACTTTATCAGTGTGGTCTTGGCACATTTTTTTTTTATTTCCAGTTTAAATTTATATAGAAAAAATATAAACGAATACGTATTTAATTGCAAATAAGAAAAAAGTATTCTCGACGAGACGAGAGACCCATTTTCTTTCGCTGCACGAGACGAGATGAGAGAAGGACTTTTCTCGTCTCGTCTCGTCTCGCGGCATCACTAATCCTTTTGGGATCTAAAATTATTTTTGAATGAAAAATAAACTGGTAGGTATTTTCTAATCCAAATTTTTAAAAATTAATTGGTTTTAGTTGGTTGGAATGGAATGGAATTACCAATTCATTCCATGTGCATTTCTATTGGATTTAGCCAATAGAGACAAGCATAGGCATGGATTGGTATTTCCCAATTTAAGCCGCTGACTTCATTGGAAATTACCAATGGGAATTTAACTGGAATGAATTGGTGATTCATAGCGCCAAAACACATTTCAAACCAATTTAAACCAATTACTAATTTTTTAATGGATTCTATTGGTCATTTACAATAGGGATATCTATAGGTACCTGATATAAAGTCTTACCAAGAACATAACCATCAACGATATTTGGACGTAGAAATAGATTTGAAACCAGTATGAAGTAATATTAAAATTTATATTGCAAATAAATAATATTCTTGTTAAAAAACAAACAAACAACAAAAGTATATTGCTTCCCCATATTCGGTTAACTTTTTCAATAATAACCGATACTTTATAAATTTTAAAAGAAGTATTTTTAAATAGTTCTCCATCATTTTCACTTTTTCTATGATAAATAGCTGATCTAATCCATCCCAATAAAATATAGTCACCATTGTCACTTTTTTTTAAATCAGCTATCGGTAACTTGTAAAACTCTGTAATATCATAAAAAAGATTTTCATCGATTTTATCCAATGCTATTTTGATTATTTTTAGGATTACTTTTAGGGTCATACCTTCCATTAATAATATTATTGGTAATATGGTTTGTAACGTAAAATATAAACAACTCCATTCATAGTACAAAAACATTAGTAATATTTCTGTGAAGATCAGGAGTATGGATAATGATATTTTGAAAACTACCATTTTATTAACTTTAACTATCATTTTCCAATGTTTTTGACAACCTGGTTTAACAATATCCACTTCTTTTAACACCTTTAAAAAAATTCCAACATCTTTTATAATAGTATATCTTTTTACCAACATATAACAACATATTAAACAATCACATATTAAAACAATTACATCCAAAGTAATAACATCCAAATTTTCATTGGAGTAAAATAGTAATTTTCCATGCAAAACAAACATAAAAACCACCATATAACACGTTAACAAAAAACCTGTATATACTCTTGAATTCGCTTTAAA